TGATAATATCTGCAAGATCATGGAACATGGTGGCTAATTGATGATGCAAACACTACAGGTCAACCAAGGAGCCAACTGGGTGGCAACACAGTGTATCTAGGTACAGGATACTTCCTGCAAATACCACTGGTTTTTGTTGCTGGTTATTTGTTCAGGCTTCTGGGTGAATCTGGTTATTATGGCCAGCTCTTTGGAGTGTTGGCCTTAGTGCCTGCACAGAAAGTGTATATAAGTGAGCATCTGCATGAGGTGACAGTCCAGTTGCTGACTTGTTTGATTAATCAGTCAAGTGATTCTTTTGTCAGTTTCATAAATATGGGGACCACTGGTTTTATATTTAATAATAGCAACAGACATAGGAAGGTAAGTCAACATGCATTTATTAAGTGCCTGTTATATGCCAGGCAGTGTACTTAGCACTGAGGATATATAAAGAATGTCCTCACTCTCAAGGAGCCAGCATTCTAACAGGCAAGATAAAATGAAAACAACGGTGTACAAAACAAGACATATATATATATATACACACACACACACACACACACACACACACAAGATCCACTGGCGATCATCTTAGAGGGAAGGAGCTAAAATTTAAAGAGAACAAGGAAAAGCTTCTGTCTGAAGGTGGAACTTTACCTGAAATTTGAAGGAAACCAGAGATTCCAGGAGGCAGAGATAAGGAGAGTTCCAGACATGGAGGACAGCCAGGGAAAATGCCCAAGAGATAGAATAGAGGGGGTGCCAAAAGACCTGAGTTCATCCTTCCAATTGGATCCAAAATCATACACTGCATCAATTCTCTAACATGTATTGGTAGAAATGTTGATAAACTGGTTGTTCAGTTGACATTGGATGAAGACTATTAGTTTTCTTGAGGAGAGGTGACATGAAGGAGAGGATTCATTCACCTCAGTCATCCAGAAGGCACCATATAGCTTTGGATACTAACATGCCTGACCCATCTTGAAAACAGGACCCGTCCTTGTCCCCCTATGCTGCCTGCAGCCTCTTCCCTCTGGACTGTTAAGGTGGTGTATTTGTAGGGACATAAATCTGGTCTCATTTCCTTTTTGAGCTTACTATTGTACAAAATCAATAGTAATCTCAACAAGTTAGTTAATCTATGGCTTCTGCTCGCCAAATCACATTCCTCTTTTGGAGGTGACTAGAAATTTCCAGTCTTAGACCTGTATCTGCTGCTGCTATTGCTCCCTCATATTTTCTTTTGGATTTTCCTCACCTGAGTATTGTCCTGAAGATGTGTATGAAGTGTGCTTCCTTTCAGTAGCAGGAGTTTCTTGTTTGTCCTGTCTACATGTAGAGATCCTGCTCTAATCTTCCTTCTTATGGAAAGTTTGTGCAACTCCTTTAATGAGTTCACCATATAGTTCTTTTATTTTGTAATCATAAGGATTTTGGAAATGAAAGATTATCTCGGTAGTTGGCTAGGCAGAAGTGGCTACATCATATCTCTCCAGATGAGCTTTTCTGTCTTAAGTAGCTACATCATATCTCTCAAGATGGGCTGGTAAACCTGTATCATCAAGGTGAATTCTTCCTGAAACTTGAGTCTTCATTAATTTTAAGGAATTCTTCCTAAATAATTGTTTTATTACTCTGTAATGACATATCAAACTGGATGGGTCTATCATCCTTCCTTAAAGGGAACTGATATTGTGCAATCATACTTAATACTACATCCTTTCCAATCCGCTCTTTTAGAAATACTGAAATTTTATTTTCTTTTAGCGTTTTTGCCAAAAGTCCTTGGTTTCATCTCTATTCAGTTCTATCCCTTAGCAGAGAGAGAAAACCTTGTCAGTACTTAACACCTAGGCAACAATACCCTGGTCTGAAGTTCTCCCGATGCATTCTTTTTGAAGGCCTAACAAATTTCTAAAGGCAGAGAGGCCTGATCATCTTTGGAAGGAGTCTCCCTGAAATTGGTTGAGGTTATGATCAAAGAACCCCTTTGATTAATTAATTTTAAAAAAGCATCCCTTGAGGTCACCCTTGATTAGGCCGAAAGGAGAATCCATAGAGAAAATGGCTAAAAATGCTTTTAGGAAAAAGATTCTTTAGCGTGACTGAAAAGTTACTATTCTTTTTAATGAATTAAAAAACTATTCATTAAACTTTGTCTGATTGAATCTTGATTATGAAAATTTGTCTTTATTCTTTACCCTATAAAATTGTGGTTTAGAAATGGCATCAGAAGAGAGATTTTCAAGGTGAGATGGAGCTGTCCCTTTGGATTTTCTCTTTGAGCAGAGTTGCACTTAATAATTTAATTAATACATTTGTGTATGGAGAGTACTGAATTTTTTTCCCACAGTTTCCTTTATTTCCTCTAATTCATTCTCTAATTGATTTGTCCTTTATTAGAACCAACTGTAACTTTTACCAGCTGCATCCATTTTGCTACATGGTAGGTCTTTAAAGTTCGCTTCTATTTAAGTTTCTTGGCCATTTGAGGACTAACTATGATCCAGGTTATATTTGTGGGACCATTAATAATACTCACATAACAAGGGGTGGTAATGGCCATGGATATTTATAAATTCATAGCCCTGATTGCTGATAGATCCCCCACCTTCCTCTCTGAGGTTCCTTCTTCCTCTGACTGTTCAGTTATATGATAGAGGCCTAGTTTGGGACAGAATGTAGAAAGAAAAGGCTAGTCATGAAAGCCAAGCAGTCTGTCAGTGACTTCTAAACATTTAGTTAACTTTTGGGTTAGTTCCAATAGAGACACCATGTGGACTTTTGTTAAAAGTTTAGCTGTTTCCTTGTACAATAGTTACGCTGGCTCCATTAATTTTTACTAATTCTGTTATCTCCGTTTTCTAGAATACCATAAAAATAGACAATCTTATATACACTAAATGTTCTCAACAGTGGGAACTGTTTGGAAGGGTCATCCTTAGTATAAAAGTTTTATTTAATTAAGAACTTACAAATTTTGTGGCTATAATGATTGCATATGAAAACTACTAGTGTGCTCTTTGGTGGGGTCAGAATGCAGTTCAATTCTCCCACTCCCATATTTTAAGCAGACAGAACAGTCAGACTTTCAATGTGTGGATGTCACCAGAAGTATACAGTGAATTTCCAGGTTTCATAAATAATCATACATAGCCTATGGGTTTCCTGAGGATGCCAGGACAGAGCTATACATATCAACAATCCTGCTACCTGTCCTTTTTTTCCCCGGGGAATAAAAGGAAGTTCCTAATCAGCTCACAGGGTTTTCCAAAGTTTCCTGCTTTCTGTGACTCAAGTCATTTCACCATGGCCCCTGAGAATAAGTGCAGCTGGGCCAAAGGATGAATCCCAGACCTGCTCCACAAGAGTTACAGTAACTAAAGGACCTAGTAGTCAGAACAGATAGACAAAGTAAATTAAAAGTACATTTTATAAAGAAGCAGATAATAGTTCCCACTTTTTAGGGTACAACAGGACCAGAACACCTAAAGGCTAAGTATAAACCAAATGGTTCAGTCCTATAATCCTACTTAGCTCCTTTGTTCCCTGCATCCTCACAGTGCCTAGATTTAGAAACTTATCGCTGCCTGAAGGAGCAAGTTACTCATAATTGGAGGAACAGTGTGGGATTTTGTTAAATATTTGGATGCTTCCTCATACTTAGAACTATTATAGGGTCAATATTACTTAAAACAAGAGGCAGCAGAAGTGATAGAAATATATATATACATCTCCTGAAACATTTTATTATTGAAGTTAGATTCTGTGATACAAGGATTTATCAAGCATTCAGTTTTTTTCCACTTTTGGAAAACTCTAATAATGCTTCAGTAGCTGAATTAGACACGTTTATAACAATATAGACACAAAATAGTGAGTGGATTGGCTGATTAACATTTCTTATAAGGAAGGATAGGGCACACATAGTCAGACATTGACTTTTGGTAGACTTTTTTAAAAGTACATTTTTATTGATAATCTTTTGGTTTTACACCACCTAAATTTTCCCCTGTATCCCTTTTCCTCTCTCTCCCAGATAGCTATCCTGTATGACAAAGAATTTTTTTTAAGGGAAAAGAGAATAGAAGAGGAAAAAATCAGCAAAACCAATCAATACATAAAAAAAAAAATCTGACATCATTTTCAAAGTTCCATACCCATGGACTTCCCATCTCTGCAAAATAATGGGGGAAATGTCTTCTATCTCTTTTTTTGAGCCATGTGTGTTCTTTTTAATTTGCAGCATTCACTTTTGATTATCTTGTGGTAGTTGTTCTTACTATTTACATTGCTGTACTCATTGTTTTCCTGGTTGTCCTGACTTCACTTTGCATCAATTCATGTTTTCCTATGCATCCTTCAGTCATCACATTCATCATTACTTACAAGACAGTCATATTCCTGTTCCATCCACGTTCCACAATTTATTTAGCCATTCCTCAGTCAACGGATCCAGTTCTTCACTACCACAAAAAATGGTACTTTAAATATTTTTGTGTACATGGGAACTTTCTTGTTGTCAATGACCTCCTTGGAATATAGTCCTAGTAGGGGAATCTCTGGGTCAAAGGGTATGGATGCTTTAGTTACTTTATTCAAATAATTCCGACTTGCTTTCCAAAACTTTTGGCAGGATTTTATCTAAAATAGCTTCTTCCCCAAGATGGCTTCCACAAAATAAAGCCAGTTTCTTTTTCTCATCCAAATGAGTAGGTTTTGTGTTGTTGGTTTTTCTTTTCTTTTTTAATAGTTCTTGAATGTGTTTTGAGAAAATATAACCTCCAAATATAGTTTGATTTTTTTTTCAAACTATACCATTTAGTACTTAAGTGGAGATGTTTTATGTGATATATTTTAGATTTCTAAGGAAGTATTTATTATTTAAACAAAAGTTAATTTTGCCAACTGATCAACCTAAATTATTTTTGAGCAGCAGGATCCCAGAGCATATTTTGTCAAAACAAGATGTTCAGTTAAATTTCCAATCAACATGCAGCCTCTTGTCTCCTTAGATATTAACCCCAACTGGCCTGATGACTCTGGACCACAAGGAGAGAATATTTCCTTAGATCCCTCCATTCGCCTTAAGGTTGAGAAGCTGGAGATGGTAAACACTTCTAAATTTCTTTTTTCTCCTTCTAAATAAAAAATATTAATTTCTTAAAAGTTTATTTATTTGTAAAAATTGAATGCTTATTTATTATTATCATTATCATTGTTATGTGTGTGATAATGCATTTCTCTAATGGTTTATAGTTTACAAAGCACTTTGATATTATTTTTTCATTTTATACTCATACAGCCCAATGAGAGCGATAAGGCACACTGTTAAACCCATTTTATTTTATTTTGCCTTTTTTTTTTTCGTGAGGTAATCAGGGTTAAGTGACTTGCTCAGGGTCACACATCTAGTAAGTGTCAAGTGTTGGAGGCTGGATTTGAACTCAGGTCCTCCTGACTTCAAGGTCAGAGCTCTATTCACTACACCACATAGCTGCCCGTTAAACCCATTTTAATATGTAGTTAGCAAACTGAGACTCAAAGAGAGTTGCCGGCAGGCTTCAGCCCTGAGGTCACTGAAGTCACTGCTACATTCACATTTGGAGATACTAGTTTACAGGAGATCATTGTGCAAATGATGATCAACTGTTAAAGATTTAGCTACTCTGATCAATGATCAATGATCCAAGATAGTACTCATGATGAAAAATACTGTTCACTTCCATGGAGAGAACTGATGAACTCTGAGGGCAGATTGACATATAATTTTTAAACTTCCTTAATTTTTTTCTCTTTTTTCTCAACATGGCTAATATGGAAATATGTTTTGCGTGATTTCATGTGTATAGTTGATATCATATTGCTTGCCTTTTCAATAAGTGGGGGGAGGGGAGGGAGGAAGAAAATTTGGAACTTAATTTTTAAAAAAAGAATGTTAAAGACAGATGCAAGTCCAGGTGCACTGGGGAGGGGGGGAGTAGGGGGAAGGGGGGATATGGCCTGAAATGCAGGCTTAAAAAAAGAAAAAAAATGTTAAAAATAAATTTTACAATTTTTAAAAAAGAAAATGAGTAGGGGGAAATAAAAGAATATACCACTTCACTGAGAGCATAGGTTGTGTAGTGGAATAGAAAGTCAATCTAGGGGTCAAGAAGACCTGGGTTCAAGTGTTGCCTCTAACATACTTAACCCCAGGTCATTAAATCTCTCTTTTCCTTAAGTAACTATATGACTAAGTGCTGCTCTGTAGTTTCCATACTATGAGTTACCAATAAAGTAAGGATTCTTGATGCCTTATTTTTTTTTTTACCACTATTATTTAATCAAAATCAACTATCCTTTGAGAGTTGTCACTATTAAAGATAGTCAATGACACAATAATGGGATCGGGAGGTGGACAAGCTGCCTCTGTCCACTGTAGAAAAATAGCCCAATTCTGGGCATATGGGTAGCATCCAATCAATCTTTGATGACTGATGTGCATGAGCCATAAATAAATATTCTTTGTAGTTATTCAGTGGTTTGGTTGAATTAAATCTCTTTAAACTGCAAACCAAAGTTAGCTGAAAATCAAGATGACAAAGAGAAACCAATCCTGGTGTGGAAAATTAATAAACAGAAAGAAGTAATATTAAAAGAAACTTTTTTAAAAAGGAAGCTAAATTTTAAAGAGGGAAAATAATCTTATGATCACAAAGTCTGAGGGAATTGTGAAGCACAGAATGAGATAAAAAGGCACAAAGTCATCCTGAGAAAGAGAAACCTACTGAGAAAATTTATGCGAGCAGGAATCTGAGATCACAGAGAAAATGAAAGGCAGAAAAAAAACCCTTAGAACTGTTAAGTAGGGAAGTAAGCTTGTGACAGAACAGACAAGGAAAATAGCCCATTCATTGTTGTTTTTAACAAAATGGACAGTGTCAGAATCATTCACTTAACTGCCTTCCTCCACTCTTATGTGAAAATGTTTTCTTTTTTATTTAGTCCAAGAGAGAAGGCAAATGCCTCATTGGGATCCATAGTGTTCATTCCTGTCTCCATTCCCTTGCTCATTCCTAGCCTGCCCTCTTTGCCTTCCTTTATTCTTGTCCAAATCCTTCCTGTCTTGTACTTTTGAGTCTATTTTTTCTGAACCCTTCTTGTACTTAGCCTGCTCAACTTAGTACTAGACTATATACTGTGTTGTATTGCTTTCTGTTGTATAATTAAGCTTGTCTTGCTAATTAGATTATAAACTCCTAAAGTTGTGCTTAGAGATTGAGCCTGGACCTAAGATTTCAGTAATGTATAAAACTCTTTTTTTCCGTTGCAGGTTAGCGTGTTCTCTGCAATTTATAGTCTTCCATATTTGCCTAGAGCACTGACAGATAACTTGCCTAAGGTCACACAGTCAGTAAGTGTCAGAGGCAAGACTTGAACCCAGACCTTCCTGGCGCTAAGATTTAGTTCCCTATTTGCTATGCCAAGTTGCCTCTGTCTACTATAGATACGACAACACAGTTCTGGGCGCATAAGTAATGTCCCCAAAATCTTGGACAATTGACAGAAATGAGGGAACCACAAATAGATATTTCTTGGGTTTATTCGATGGATTGGTTGATTTGATCATTTAACACATCTGCTTTCCATTTATGCAATTATTCCATTCATAGGATATGCTATATCCTGTGCCAACCACTCTCCCCTTTTTAACATGTCATTATGATATAAAATTTAAAAAAAATTTTTTTAGTGGAAAGATAAAGTAGAATTTCTGCCACAATAGAAAGCAATCTGAGACCATCTGTTCTGTTTTTCTGTACCATACATTTCATGATTTCTCCCCACTAAGATTTCTTTGCTTTATGAATGCTGAAAGGTTGTGTCACCTTACAAAATGCATCCCTAAAAATTAATCTTTCTTCAGCTATTCCTAGAGCAGTCAATGTAATGATGTCAGTCAATAAACATTTATTAAGCACTTACTAGATGCCAGATACTGTGCTAAGCACTAATATCAACGTCTTTGCCATTAGATGATGGTTTTTCTACTTCAGTTGTTACCTGGTAGATCAGATTTTATTACCCATTATACACACACTCTGCAGATAAGATCAGCGTGATAAATTATTTGCTCTTTATTTTGTTGTACAGGTAACATAAAAACTCTAAATTCTCAAGATGTGTAACACGGATGAAAATATATATCCTATTTGATTGTCAGACATACAATTTATGATTTTAAAAAAGTTAAGTAAATAAATTTTAATCTAAATAAGCTAATGTGATGATAAAGTCTTGCAAGGAAAAAAGCTGTTGGCTAGCTATGTGGCTGTTAAGTAATGAGGCCAGTCAAATAGAAGAGATTTTTAAGGAGAAGAGAGGTGAGGATTTGAGCAAAGGAAATTAAATTGCCTATCAAGGCAACATGTTATACATTTCCACTTATGGTAGAATGTATAGAGAGAATCCAGATGTATTGAAAAGTGATTTCTAACAGCTCTTCTGATATAAAGCAAGTCATTTTTTATTTCCTGATCTGCAAAATGATGGTACCACTACCTCTTCAAATGAACATTCTGAGAATTATTTTGTGCCTATGCAGGCTCAAAAGTGACATCACCATCACCATCTTATGTACATTCCAGATGATTTAAAATATGTCCTGTTGCCCTATTTGATCCATATAATAAGCCTGTGATGTAAGTAGGATGAAGCATATCTAATAAAGAGTACTTGGTGGTTGGTCCTTACAAAAAGGAAAGGGATATCTTAGACCTGATCCATCCCTATTATTGTACCTGAGGAGTATCCTCTGGGACCCAGATGCCATTTCCCTGATATTTACTCTACCTGTGCTGTTTCTTTCACATTTGAAAAAAGGCTTCACTGAGCAATAGTTTACCCAGTTTCTGATGGCAGCTGCTGTTGCTGATTAACCCCCTTTATGTTTTAGGTTGGATGGTTGTCAGTAGTATTTTAAGAAAATAATATTTTCTTAATCATTCATTTGGGCTTGTGGAAACATTAAAGGCACTCATCCAGTAGAAAATTGCATTTTTTCCCCTTAAATATAGAATAATAATTTATCATTCAAGGCTTTATTTAAATCTTCTTGTTTTGTCAAAACTCAGATTGATTGATCTGATTTATTTTTTAGCTTTATTGAATTACCGTTTTCTACCTTGAATGTAATATACTCAATTCACCTATTACAAAACATATTCCTTTAGGGCACATAACCTTCTGTACAGCTATTATATTAAGTTCAGGGCTAGTGTAATTTGTACTGTAGTTGATTAAATTGTGGAGGTTCATTCTCATCACACACACACACACACACACACAAAACATATCAAGCAGAATATGTCATGACCAATGACCACACTTGGCGTAAAAGTTTGTAAGCAAGAACAAGTATTAGAAAATTAAATAATTCTGATCATTTTCAGATTTCTTTTGTCAACTTTAACTTTATTTTGTTTGTTTTTAAATAACTGAAGCCTGTGTACTTTAAGTATTCTTGTCTTTTGTGAACAATGTGCTCGAATTATGTTGTGTGGATGAATTACATATTTCCCATTAAGGATCTAGTCCCAGTCACTATCTTCTTAGAATGACATGTCAGCAAAGCTTATAGTCTTATATTTGGACAAATGATTCTCTGTGTGTGTGTGTGTGTGTGTGTACACTTCACTAATAGGATCTTTAATTAATGTGTTTTTTAAGTTTCTTTTTTTTTCTTAGTTCAGATAGTAGTCCACATTCAGTAAAACATAGGTAATGGATTGTCACTAAAATTCTAACTGAGGTTCAGTCTTTTCTGATTGAAAAACTGGTTAAACCAATTATCCTGATATAGCTTCTTATATTACACTATTCTATAAAATGTAAGTGATCAAAATGAAAATAATAATAGCTAAAATTATATAATACTTTAAGATTTGCAGAATACTTTACACAAATTATCCCAATCAATCCTCATAATAACCCTGTGCATTAAATGTTTCTATTCTCCCCATTTCAGAGATGAGGAAATTGAAGCTTAGAAAAGTTTGAGAATCTTACCAGTGGTTCCTTGATTATGTAGCTGGCTATTAACAGGAATGTGTTGAACCCAGCTCTCTCCTGATTCTTGGTCCAGCAGTCTTTCCACTTTATCATATTGCCTTTCATCACATGATCACTAAATATATTGGGGTATTAAATTAACTTATACATAAGGTTCAAATATTTTCATTATCAAACACTCAGTATGTATCAGGCATTTGTTAGTTTTTAGATATGCAAAGACAAAAATAAAAGCTCCTGCCTAGAAGGAACGTACATTCTACTGGAGAGTTGATACAACCATGGGATTGTATTGTTGTTTTTATTTTAAAAAAGAAAGAAAAAAAAATTTACATGATAACAGCAAATTGTACATAATAGTTTTGTAGTTTCATGTGTAATCTTTTTTTATTATGCTGTGTTATGGAAATGCTTATCTTATCCCATAAATTAAAAATAAAGAAAAAATTAAATGCTTCTTAGTAATTCTAATATTTATTCTTTGTAATTGATATTAACGGCCTGGTTAGAAAAGTAGCCTTCTCCCTTAGGGTATAGCATGTTTACAGAGTTTATCTGATATTTATCTGATTTAAATGAGTTTATCTGATTAGCTAACTGCTTCTTCCTATTAATGATAAGAATTTAGCAAACATTTCTTAAGAGCTTTGTGTACAAGCACTAGGTACTGAGTATACAAAGACAAAAAAAAAAAATAAACAAGTCCAGCATTCTACCAGGCAGGGCAGGAGTGGGGGCTGGAGGGAGGATACAAAATACATATAGATAAGTAAATGTAAGTTAAGTTAAAGAAAGGGGAAAGAGAGAGCATTAATATCTGAGGGAGGGAGAGGAAGGAAAGATCAGGGAAGTCTTTATAGAAAGTGGTACCTGGTGGCAGCTGCGTGGCACAGTGGATAGAGTACTGGCCCTAGAGTGAGAAACCCGACTTAAAATCCAGCCTTGACACTTACCAGCTGTGTGACCCTGGGCAAGTCACTTAACCCTATTGCCTAGCCAAAAAATAAAAAAAAAAAAGGAAAGAAAGTGGTACCTGATTTGAAACTTGAAGGAGGATTAAGCTTCTGAGAGGGATTGGTTAGGGAAGGGAGTACATTCATTTACAAATACACAGAGATACCAAATGGAATGTCTAGTTTAGGGACAGCTAATAATAATCCAGTTTGTCTGGAACATAAAGATGTAAATGAGAAAAGTGTGAGATACTTAACTAGAAGGGTATGTTGGAGCCCAGTTCAATTCCAGTTTATTTTTATTTTATTCTAGATGCAAAAGGGAGCCTAGCTTTTAATATGAGTTCATCATACTCAGACTTTTGACTGAGGAAGATTATTTCTACCTCTGTGTGGAAGACAGATTAGAGAGACTGGAAGTAGGAATATCAGTAAAGAGGCTTAACAGTCATACAGGTGAAGGAGAGGGCATGGTCAATGACAATTCCAAGGTTACCAGACTGTACAACTGGTGGATAGTACTAGGGAAATTTGGATGAAGATTTAGGAGAAAAAATGATGAACTGTGTTTTGAACATACTGAGTATAAGCTGATATGCCATCTAGACAGAGAGGTCCAGCAAGAAATTTGTGAGGGGGGGACTAATGTTCTTTAGCGATGAATATGGTATTGTGGAGTACAATCCGGCTGTATATTGTCACCTTATTTATCATATTTTCAGAGTACATCATGCAAAATGCCAAGCTGGACGAATCAGAAGCCAGAATTATGGTGGCCAGGAGAAACATCAACAGTCTCAGATATGCAGATGTTACCACTCTGCTGGCAGAAAGTGAAAAGGAATAAAGAAGTCTCTTGAGAAGATGAAAGGAGAGTGTAAAAGCTGGTTTGAAGCTTAATATTAAAAAAAAAAAAACCCTAAGATTGTGGCAAGTGTTCTCATCACTTCCTGGCACATAGATGGAGAAGGAATGGAGGCAGCAGCAGATTTTCATGTTTTGGGGCTCAAAGGTCACTGCAGACGGTGACTGCAACCATGAAATTAAAAGACACTTGCTTCGTGGAAGGAAAGCTGTGGCAACTCTGGACAGCATACTAAAAAGCAGGGACATTACCTTGCTGACACAGGTCCATATAGTCAAAGCTATGTTTTTTCCAATAGTATTGTGTGGTTGAGTGTTGGACTATAAGGAAAGCTGAGTACCATAGAACCTACTCCTTTGAATTGTGCTGGAAAAGACTTTTGAGAGTCCCTTGGACAGCAAGGAATCCAAATCAGTCAGTATTTACAGAAATTAATTCAGACTATTCCCTGGAAAGTCAAATACTGGAGCTGAAGCTTAAATACGTTGGCCATATAATGAGAAGACTGACTCACTGGAAAAGACCCTAATGTTGGGAAAGAATGAAGGCAAAAAGGAAAGGGGATGTCAGAGGATGAAACGAATAGGTAGTATCATGGAAGGAACAAACACGAGCTTGGACAGACTTCTGGAGTTAATGGAGGATAGAAGGGCCTGAGGTGCTATTGGTCCATGAGGTCACAAAGAACCTGAGATAACTGTACAACTGAACAACAACAACAGTTTTGTGTTTTGTACAATGCAGTGTATCTTGTATTGAGTAATAAAGAGTAATTTTATTGACATTCTGGGGTAGTCTTGTAGAAAATGTTTTTTTCTGTTTTCTTTCCTTATCTTGCATGGTCACATTTTCTTGCTGCCCTTCTTTTACCTTCATATATAATTTTGTAAAACAAAGGAGTCATTTGTCCTTGGGGCTATAAATTTTGTTTTGGCCAGAAAGCGCAGGTTTAGGGAAAAAAATTATTTGGAAACTCAGAAAGTAAATATTTGATGGACAGTTAATCCACAAGGGGCAAGCCGAGTTGATTCACCCATCTATCTTATTCATCACTCTGGTCACGGCACCTCCTATTGATTTCTGTATTGGCTAATAAAATGAAGCTATAATGATAGGGTTTTATTCTGTGGTGTGAAGATGTGAAAATTTTTCTCTTTTTCTTCCAGGCCCTGAATTACCTTGGTATTCAGCCCACTGAGGAGGAGCACAAGACCCTGAGGCAGCAGGTGCAGATAGACTCTAGGGGAACTGTGTCTTTTGGAGGTACTGTCTGGCCTATAGCTCTGAATCACAGTGTGGAAACTAGTTAAGAAGCATTTTTATTGAAATGTCTTACCCTCCCGCCATTTAGAGTTACAAGCACTATCTCAGGCTCTGCGATCAATAATATAACAACACAACCTTAACTCATTTGTAAGGCAGGCATCATCTTAGGACCAAGAAGCTGATGTAATTGGTTAGAAGGTACACCATGCATTCCTTTTCGCATTCAGCCCAGAAAGTGAAATGTTTTCATATTTTGCTAGAGGTGTCATGGCATATTGGCTAGAACCTTGGCGTTGGTTCAAATCTTGGATCTGGGTTCAAATCTCACCTCCAGCACTTATTTACTGTGTATTCCAGTGAAAAGGATTTAACCTTTACGTGCCTCATGCATCTTGAATCTTACCTAGTAAATAACAGATGGGTTATGATCTATGAAAGATGTTGTCTGTCACATCAGAAGCTAGTTACCACTCTCCCTCTCATGCTGATGAAATCATAGATTCTGATACACACACATACACTTCTGTTTACTAACACGTGTGTATGTATACACACATGCACATACATATGTGTATTATGTATGTTCTCCCCACCCTCATATATATGCATATATACGTACTGTATACACAGATACATGTGTCTATATAAATAGATGCATGTACATGTGTTTGAAGATATATATGTATATACACACATACACACACACGTACACGTGTGCACATTTGTAAGGGAAAAAAGTTCCCAAGAGACCTTCATTTTTGCTCAGAGATCAGATATTCATTAACAAATATCTTATTAAGCACCTACAATGTGCAAGAGACAGTACTAAGCGATGATAAGGACATAGAAATTAAAAAGACATGGTCCCTATTTTTAGGGAACTCAGCAATTGGAATCCCCCCATATTATGCCTTCCAGCAGCCCCATAAATTGTATCACTCCACTTGATTTCAGAAAGAGCTCTCTGTATAACTGAGAGAGTTTAGAGAGTTAGAGGGTTTTGTTTCTTTGTTTGAATTCCTACAAAAGCAATGTTACATATCAAATTGTTCAATGTCTCTGATTTCTTTATAATTTTTTTACACATTCAAAATACAATTTTATTTCACACTTGAGAGCTCTGTTGTTTGCAGGTTCTATGTCAAAGAAGTGGTAGAATTTAGAAATATTTATACTAAATAACCTTTGAGTTTGGTGAAAATAAATAGAGGCTAGAGGCTAAATCCACATTTTGGGGTTATTGATTTGGTTTGGTTTGTCTGCTAATTTCTAAATCAAGATTATATTTAGTTTGTCTTCTCAATACCTTTCTCAAGTTCTAAAACCTATTAAAAGGCTTAATTAAAGCATAATACTATGTAGTTCTAAAACATTAGGGAGAAGTATATTAAATTCAGCTTTGTTAACAGGAGCTCTGTACCATTCTAGATTTTGTCCAGGTTTCCAGAGAACTATTCCGCTTACAGCTGAATGAAGTAGGCGTTGGGCAAAAATCCACAATGCTTGATGCCCGTGAAATTTCCCATTTATTAGACGCACAGGTAGAGTATATACTCTATGTGATTTTCTAATTTGCAGTTAATTAATAGTAGATCATTATCAGTATGAGTGTTATAATTATTCTAAATTTCTATATTAATATTTTTAATGTAAGTAAAACAATGCAAAATTACTTAAATGTCTGATTTCTTTTCTAGTTCTTTAAGTATACACATTTGAAATACAGTTTTATTCCACGGTTGTGTTGAAAGCTGTTTTCAGGGAGGTTATCAAAGAAGTAAGATAACTTGAGAACATTGACATTGTACTATTGAAACTATAGATCTTATTAATGATAGTCATCATCATAGCTAGTAGTTATATAGAACTTAGTTATCAAAATACGTTATAAATATTATTTCATTTGATCTTCAGAATAACCCTGGGTAGTAGGAGATATGAGGAAACTGAAGCAGGCAGAGGTTAAGTGACTTGCCCAGGGTCACATAGCTAGTAAGTGTCTAAGGTCAGATTTGAACTTAGGTCTTCCTAACTTCAAGGCCCAATGCTGTATGCACTGTGCCACTTAGGTGCCTCCTTTATAGCTGACTCCCTATATTGGGGGAGAGTGGGGTGGAAGGTGCTAATTTGAAGCTAAGAAAATCCTTGGTGAATTGATGACCAGCCATCATGAAACAAAGTGGGCTTTGTCCTGTGGGAATAAGAATGTCAATGACCTATTTTCAAAATGCATTAACTGTTTAAAATCAGGCTGTAATCCTTGACAAATTCTTATTTGAATGCAGTGAATTACATTGAGTATGACTATGACTGGAGAATTGCTTTCATGCATACAGTAGGTGGCTCTTAAAAGAATATCTAGTCCTTCCTACATTAGGACACTCAGTCATCACTCAAACTCTCCTAGCATTAAATGGAGAGGAATCAAACTGCAGGAGCCCAGTTTTTCTTCCTGCTAGGCATCTTTTCATGCCTTCAATTCAGCAACAATAACAAAAAAATATTAAGTGTCGAAGGGCCCTTTTTCACCACTGTCTAATACTTCTGGCTGCCATGGTACCCAGTTTGTGAGGAAAGACAAAGGTGTTTGAGGGACTGGCCAATTGCCAGGGGAGCAGAACACTTAACTGTAGTTTGATCTGTAAACAGAGCTTTCTTTGTGGTTTCACAGTACCACTGATGTTCCAAAGAGTGAGCCTAGAAATTCCTTCCCATCCCTAGGATTTTAGGTCAGACAAGGGTATGTTCAGTCTCCTGTACTTTGATAGCAAAAAGGAAGTGCTAATGATAATTATTGAAAATTTTCCTCTATGCCAGTGATTTCCTGCTTCTGATAAAAATGATACACCAGAGTTGTTAGATTGTTTTATTGAGACCTCACTTCATCTTAGCCTTACAACCATCACCAAAAGATGGAGGATATTCTCCAATTGTTCTTCTGGAATAATATTCATAGCACCTCTTCCTGTTTATGAATCACCCCATGAAAATGGCAAATGTCCTCTCTAGCCTTTTTGTTCTGAGGTGCTGTTCTGTTTATTACCTGAAGAGTAACAATCCAGGATGGTTGAGAGTCTTTTGGAAAGAGCATTGGAAAAGAGAGATGCTGGATCACTGCCTGCTGTACCCCTTATTAGTAGTTCAATAAGCAAAAAAGGAAAGATAATCCAAGGGCTTATTAATTCATTAATTAAATATGCAATATTTGTCAAACACTGTGCTGAGGGGGATGTAAAGATGGATAAGCTCTGGTTCTGTCCTCATGTAGCTGATATCTAAGGTAGGCCTTATGGGATTTAATATAGGCCTGTTGGATTTCAACAGAAAGAATTGGGAAGGAAAGGTGGTAGAGGAGAACTAGCAAAAATGAAGAAATAGAATAGTCTGAAGACTATATAAGAGATGGTGAGAGTTCAGTTTAGTTGGAGGGTAGAGTAGGTGTAGGCAGTAGTGAAAAATAAGACTGCACAGTGGTTTGGGGGATATTAGGATTAGGAGTCAATGTACTGTCATTCTGGTTCCCACTAAAAGGCATGTTGCCCAAATCACTTACTTTATTATGTGCCTCATTTTCTCTGTTTGTAGAATTTAGAGATTGGGCCATGATTCATAATTCTCCTTCCAAATGTAAAATGCCAAATTCTTGATCCTGTTCCCTTTTACCCTTTTCCTGTGATCTATGATTTTATCCAGCAGGCAATGGAATTTTAATGTAACAGAACATCGCTGTAAGATAATTTATTTGGTGTCAATGTGATATCCTAGACTTGGGAGAAGGGAAAGTTTGGAGGAAGAAAGCCAAATTAGGAAGCAATCCCAATAGTCCAAATGCATTACTAAGAGCCTGGACTAGAGAGCTTGCATCTAAAAGAGAAAGAAAGGGATGGATAGATTTGAGAGAAACTGCCAACAAAGAATTGAAATGACTTGGGCCAGAGTCGAGATGGTAGAGTAGAGGTGGCAACCTAGCTCAACTTCCCCAACAACTTTAAAATACCACGTCAAATCAAGTTATGGAGCGGCATAGACAACCAAAGGTTGGAGTAAGACATTTTTCCAGCCCAAGACAACTTAGGAGGTCAGCAGGAAAGATCTGTGACACTGGGGTGGGGGCCATCCTGGAGTGCACATAATGGCAACACCAGCAGTGGGCCTTGGAGGCGGGAACAGTGGTGGCAGCTACTTTGGGAGCTCTTAGCCCAGATTCAGTAAGAGAGTCAGAAAACTTAGAAAGACATCACAGGGGACATTTTGCTGGTATTGGGACCAGGACCTCCTACTGTTTGGCAACTTTATTGCCCATGTGTTGTTCTGGGTCACAATTTCAGGGCAGAGAGGAACACTTCTGGTCAATCACAAGAGAGCAAGGGCCCTGGTCACAGTTCCAGGACAGAGAGGAATACTAGTGCTTTCAGCTACAGAGGACCAGGGCCCTTCCTGGGTAGCTACTAGAGGGCAGACCAGGAGAGCAGTGACCACTCCTCTCCCAGGATAATACCACCTTAGAAGCACCAAAAATTTGCAGACTGCCCCCCCCCCAAATCTAGCTCTTAAAATGGCAGCATGAAAAAACCTAAAGATTGGAACAATGCCTCCCCACCCCCTGGTGAGCTGAACTCAACTTTAACATAAAGTTCAAAGTCAAGAAATGGCCTAGAAAACAACCAAACAACCAAAGAAGAACCTGACCTTAAAAAGCTACCATGGTCAGAGGACAGTGTGAAAACAGCTACAATCAAAGCCTCAAAAATGTAAATTGGATAAAAGCCCAACAAGAATTCCTAGAGGAGCTAAAGAAAGAGATAAGAGTGGTAGAGGAAAAATGGGAGAAGAAATGAAAGTGATGGACAAAAAAGTATGAAAAGATAATTAACAGCTTGGCAAAAGAGGCACAAAAAAAATAGTGAAGAAAATAGCTCCTTAAAAACCAGAATTGGCCAAATGGTAAAAGAGCCACAGAAATTTACTAAAGAAAAGAACTCCTTAAAAAGCAGATTAAGCCAAATGGAAACAGATGCAAAAATTCATTGAAGAGATGACTTAGCAAAAGAGTGAATATGGAGGACAGGGAGTAGTCAAGGATGTTGCCTGAGTGCCTGGCTGACTAAAAAAAATGATAGTACCATTAAGAGGAATTCAAACCCCAGAGAAAGAACTCAATAGGAGTTGTAAATAATAATAATTCACATTTATATAGTACTTTAAAGTTTACAAAGTGATTTCTTCATGACAGCACCATGTGTAAGTAGTACAAATATTTATATTATTGTATTATATCATTATATCATATCATATTATATTATCCCATTTTAGAGATAAGGAAACTGAAGCTCATAGAGATTATACACAAGATTTGCATGGCTAAGCCATTAACTGACTGAGTCATGATCCAAAAAGACCTCAACAAGTTAAACATGGTAATTAATCTCATAAGAAGAAATATAATAGGGATTAAATGTAAATTTGCAGTTCAAAAAATTATTTTGGTAAATATGAGATAATAATGTGAGATGTAAATAGCTACTTTTCTGAAAAATATCCTGAAGTTTTGGAGGACTCCAAGCTCAACATGAATTAACAATTATGATTTGGCAGCTGCTGAAGTCAAAAAGGCTTTATTAAACACCTACTATGTGCCCTAGTGCTGAGCAGTAGGGGTAGAAGAAAGGCAAAACAAACCAAAAAAAAGCCCCTGAATTCAGAGAGCCTACAATCTAATTGAGGACCCACCTGTAAATAACTATGTACAAGTGACTGCAGGCTGCATTGAGACAGATCACTGGTAGGACTAGGAAAATTAGAATCCTCCTGTATTTCACTGTCATCAGTCTGCAGCTGGAGTATTGTGTTCAGTTCCAGGTGCCATCTTTTAGGAAGGACATTGAGAAGCTGGAGAGCGTACAGGGAAGACCAACCAGGAGAGTGAACGGCCACAAAATTTTTTCTGTTCGGTTGAAGGAATTGGGGCTGTTTTGTCTAAAAAAAAGAAAAGGCTTAGAGGGATAGCAGTCTCCACAAATTTGAAAGTTTGGCATGTGGAAGAAAGATTCAGTTTATTCTACCTGACCCCCAAGATCAGGATTCAGAGCAATGGTTTGGGAATTGAAAGAAGGCAGATTTATTCTTGAAGGAAAAACTTTCTGACAATTAGAAGTAGAAAGGACATCCGAAAGTAGAGTGGGCATCCTCAGAAGGTAGTGATATATCTTCCAAACAAAGTCTGGATGGTCAGTCACTGAGTCAGTAAACATTTATTAAACACCTACCGTGTACCAGGCACTGGTTCATTTTTCAGATTTGTTTTAGAATAGATTCTTGTTCAGGTTTATGTTGGACCAAGTGGCCTCTGATGTCCCTTGAAATGTTGACATCCTGTTAAGTGAAGTGATTTGCCCAGGGTTACACAATATATAAAGATTAGAAGTGAAATTTGAACCAGGTCTCTAGCAGCTCTAAACACTTAGAGTTTTTAAGAAGATAAGATTATGGATTTTATGGTACAAGGGACCTTAGAGACCATTTAGTCCAATCATTTCATTTTAAAGAAGAGAAATCTGAGGTTAAGGGAGGCTAGTATTTATTACATTGAATTGCCCAGGGTCAAACCTACCCTTGGTCATAGGATCATAAATGTAGAGCTAAAAGGGAACTTTAAAATTATTTAATCCAATTCTTTCATCTTACAGATAAGAAAAACAAGGCCTCATCAGGGCAAGTGACTTACTCAAGGTCACATATAGTAGCAGAGTCAGCATTTGGGAGTTGGTAGCAAAAATGCATTTTGCATGGCATATAACAGCATGATGTAATGATTAGAGTGCTGGGTTTGTACTCTGGAAAATCTGAGTTGAAATCTGGTCCCTGATACTTACTAGCTTTGTGACCCAGTGCAAGTCCTCCCCCTACCTCTGCCTCTTGGAATCCCTAGCTTTCTTTTGGGTGTACTTATCTCATGTGATACCCTCCTGGGATGCCTTTGTGCTCTAATGAAGAAATAATGGAATGTTTAAAACTCCAGAGAAGCTTAGAAACATACTAGCTGTGTGAGTCTGAGACTAAGATGGCTATGACCTCTAATTATCATATTCATTCATTTATTTATTTGTCTGCCCCACTAGAATGTAATCTCTTTGATAACAAGGACTATTTTGTATTTCATTTATTTGTCTTTGTATCCCCCACCACCTTAGCACTTAGTAGGTGCTTAATAAATTCTCATTAGATTGAATTGGGTTGGAACTTGATTGAACTGGGTGCCTCAGACAACCCCCTAGGATTTTATCTACTAAGTTGTAGAAAGCTTACTCTTTAAATTGATGTATGGAGTTTCCACAATGTATATTCTCTGTAATTGAAAGGTCACAAATATTTAATATTTCCATATGCCATGCAACAACATGGTTCAACTTCTTTGATAACATTACACAAGAGAATCGGCAGCCAAAAGAGAATCTCACAAAATGGGCCTTTTGGTAGAATGTCCATGCAGTATCTGGGACTTGCTTTTGGGGTTCAGAATTAGAATAGTACACAAACACTAAAATGACGTGAGAATATAAGAAACATGATATTGGGTCTAACAGATAGACCATGCAACCCAGTTTTATCCATCTTACAGTGGCCAAAAGAGTTTGTGTAAGGATATGATTGCCTTCCAAGATTTCAGGGTCAAGAATTTAGTAGCATGGCCCTCTGACATTCCAAGGTTTCTTAATAACCAAACATGAATTTTTTATGCACTTATTTATTTAAGCCATTATTCAACTGAGGTGGGGGGAGAAGGAGAGGGTATTTGGACCAGTGGGAATCCCCAGTGTAGAAACCCCCTCTCCCGAAGCAGATTGCCAATCCCTTTCCAACCTGGAACAATGAGACATTAAGTGATTTGCCCATCATTACAGCCTTGGTATGTGTCAGAATTTATTTGCTCCTTTTCCACCTCCATTATGTCTTCAAAATACATTCCACTTATATATATATTCTATCCTTCATATACATGACATGTGTAGCCTTCACCCATGCATGCATGATAGGGTAGTGTTATTTCAGCTATAAATGGATAACTTCCAGTAGCCTTAGGGGAAGGAGAGAGGCATCAGTGTTCTAGTGGAGAAACTATTGTACAAAGAAGTCAGGATACTCAAATATGAGACCTACCCCTGTCACCAGCTAGCAGTGTGACCTTGACAAATCACTCTGCCTCTCTGTATCCAAGTTTCCTTAACTAGTTTATGAGAGTTAAACTAGATAATTTCTAGTAACATACATTATTTAATAATACATATTATTTCATTTTATTTTTTATAGGTGTCTATTATTTAATAATAGATGTCTTATATTACAGACTGTCCCAGCTCTGAAGTTCTGTGATCCTATAATTTATAGACATAGCATCCTCCTTCTTAGGACAATAAATTCCCTAAATTTACCACCCTTGAACAGAATGATACTTTCTTCCTTTCATACCTTAAAGCTATCTTTTTCAATATTCAAGTGGTTTCCTTTTTCTTCTGCTTGCTATTAACAGATCTGGAAATTAATAAGTCCATGTTTCCCCTTTTTTTGGTGGGGGAGGAGAGGGATCCCGACCTGATTTCATTTAGTGTAGGGAACCCCCAGTATAGAAACTCCTTCCACTTATGCTGATTGACCACTAACCTGTAATTCAAAGTCTTAGGAAATTGCCCAGGGCATTGAGAGGTTAAGGAATTTGCCTGTGGTCCCACAGCTAGTATATATCAGAGCACCCCTGGTCCATCTCCAACTCTGTTATGTCTTCATTAAGGGCTAAACTGCACGCAGCATTCCAAGTTGCTGTGCAGTAATCAGATCATGTTCTAGGTTTTGTTTTCGGTGGCTTTCCTTATGATGGCCAATATTTTATTAGTCTTGGGAGCAGCAGTACATTGTACTAAGGTCTTCAGGGGACAGTTTGGACAGCAAGTTATAGATTCTTCATTCCATTCCTGGATTATAAGCCCTGTCTTGGAATATGGCTGAACCTTTTAGAGAAATTGTGTTGCTTCTTGCCAAATTAAAATGTTAGCATTAACTTAATGCAGAGTAGTATGGGTGTTTTATAGTGAAATAAAAGCAGTTGGAAGCACTAACAAATTAAAATTAAATTTAAGTTAATGATATTGCCCCAGATTACTTTTGCATCCTCTTTTAATTAACCAAGTGATTAGATTAAAAATAAACTTGTGGATTTTTTAATGAAATATAATACTAATATGCAAAAGCAAAACCACTATGACAACAGGCAGAAAAATATTTCACATTAACCTGTAATCATGAGCACTCAACATGTTATTTTCCTTTTCTAATTCAATGTGGATAGCTTCTTGCCTGTGATTCTTCAGAAGTGGATGAAGTAGAAAGGTTTAAACGTGAAAGAAACGATGCTTTGAGAGAAGTCAGCAGACTCAAGGTAATCTTTAAGTTAGGGTTTTTTTTTTTTAAGTAAAATATTTTCTTCTGACAAATTTGACTACTTGTGGTGGGGTATTTTTTATCCTTATTAAAACAATATGAATTAACCAAAATATAACCAGTGCTTATAGTACTTTATCCTATGGGGCTACATTCTGTTTTGAATATTATTTAAGCTTCACAGCACCCCTGCAAGTTAAGGTGGTATTAGTTTAGTTCTATGTGGATGGAGAACATCCAACAGCCTTAGGAAGAGGAGAGGTGGCGATATTGTAGTAGAGAAACCACTGTACAGAGAAACTGCGTGGGGGTCTCAGTTCTTACCCCAGCTCTCACCCTGGCTAGCTTACTCAGATAACACTGGCAAGTTATTTCGACTCTCTGATCCCAGGTGCCTTATCTATAAGACTACAGAGCTGGGCTCAAGGAACTATCCCAGATCTACAATTCCATGTTTCCCTTATTTGAACTGAGGCTTTTACTCCCTCTTTCCAAGTTGATTCCCTTTCACTTGTTTCATTCCTTCCTTCTTGCTCCAAGTGATCAGGAGTGGGCAGTATAAGCCTTCCTGCTGCTTATAGGACGATAGCTAACATTTATATGGCACTTTAAAGTTTGCAAAGCACTTTGCATGTGCTACCTCAGTTGATCCTCACAATGACTGTATGAGGTGGGTGCTGTCATTAGAGATGGGGAAACCTCAGTTTGAGAGAGGTTGAGCTACTTGCCCAGGGTCACACAGCTAAGTAAGTTAGGATTTGAACTCAGGTCTGTCTGACTACAAGGGCAGCACTCTACCTACTATACCACCAAGCTGCCTCCCTATTGCTTTATGTAAGGCATTTCAGTGTAGTGGAAAGTAGTCAGTCAGCCATTCAACTGGTATTTATTAAACACCTACTGTGTGCTAGATACTTTATTAAGCTCTGGGGATAGAAAGAAAGACCAAAACAAAACAAAACATAATCAAAAAGCAAGGAAACATTTCTTGCTCTCAAATCTAATAGATACCATGTTGGACTTATGAGTCAGGAAGACTTGAATCTGAATTCTACACAAGAAACTTACTAACTGTATTACTTTGGAAAATCACTTGACTTCTCAACCACACTTTCCTTATCAGTAAAATGGGATGATGAGTTCACCTACCTACCTCATAGGGTTATTGTGAGGATCAAATGAGATAATATATATAAAGCATTTTATAAATTTTATATAAATGGTTTATAATATATATTATTATATATTATATCACAATATTATATATTGTATATAATATACAATAGTATATATCCACAATAAATATATTATTATTGCACAGATGAATCCTGCATCCTTGGGAAAAGGACCTATATCTTATAGCAGGACCATCATTCTTTTCTAGAGAAGCATCGGGAATTAAGGTAATTTGTTTTTTAAAATCCCCATAAACATGGAAGAGGTGTTGGTTTATTTTATAACACCTTTCTTATCTTCATTATGCACCTTCCATACTTGGAGCAATACCTAAATTTATATAAAATCCCACCTTAATTGTATGTAATACCCTTACAGTATTTTGTGAATTTGTTTTAATAGAAGTCAGTATGGCCACTATTTCTGCAATTCCTTTCCCATTCAAAGAGAGGCTTGGTGTGATATGTCTTTCAACACTGAAATGCCTTTCTTTCCCATATCTTTTAGAATAACAATTAAAAACCTGGGAAGGAGGGGAAGGGGAGAGTATGAACAGGTTTTAGAAATAAATTACTGATGCTTGGTTTCTAATCCCCCTTAAAAAATTTCTTGCAAAATTGGTCACCTTAGTTACACAGCATTTCTTTTTCTAAATTACTATCCAGGGTATTTTCCCCCATAAATAATTTAATTTGTATGATTACTAGGAATCCTGGGGTAGCTCTCTAATCCCTCTCATTCATTTGTTCCATGAATAGTACATCTGTGCTAATCCAGTTATTTGGTTGAGGTTTTTGATTTAGTACTCCTAAATTTCTAGTTTAAAAGCTATTCATGTTGCATCCATGTAAGACTGGCATGTAACACACTTATAAAATTAAAGCCCAGCTGAGAGCCCATTAAGTAAATTCTGAAGGACTGTTCTAGCTTATAAAATGTAACTCAGCTTTCAGCTACTATGATCAAAACTGGTGAGACACATTCTAATTTCTAGTTAATCATCTTTTTCTTTTTTAAAAGAACCTATGTTGATTGAAACAATTAAGAATCCTACATTATTATAGTACTCAAAGCACTGTAACTTTTCCAATTGATTTTCCCTAGTAATTTGCAGTTTACACAGTATAAAGGCTTACAGTTAATTGAGTTCTGTGGCATAAATCCATTTATAGGCCAACCAATGGTCTTTAATCCTTTCCCACTCTCTTCCTTTCCTTGTCCTCATGTTCTTCATCCATGAAACTCCCATTGCTTTATGGTAGGGATGAAAATTAAGCCAGTGAGATATAGAACATATTAAATGGTCTTTCACTACTGGGTAGTTATTAATTCAGAGGATGATTCTTTTTTAAAGCACTGGTGTATCCCAGTGAATCTTTTTTTTCAAAGGGCTCAGCTGAGCCTAACACCTGCTTGGCAAAGGTGAGTGAAAATACACATATTTCCCTTGTACCAATGTGAGAACTGGGACACAAAGAGTGACTTGCTTGAGAATAGATGGTAACAGAGACCAGATTCATGGCTTTTGTTCTGGATGGCTTTATGACAATCATTTCATGCTCCCTTATTTTATCTCTTGGACTGGGAAAAATTAAAACCTGAAATCAAATCAATTATTCTTGGCATTCCAATGTTGATATAAATTTTTTCCCATTCTGCTTAATGTTCAAGTCATCTCTGTCCAGGCTACTGGTAGAATTTGGCCTTCTGTGACTGGTAGTAATTCTGTTTAATTTGCTAAATAAAAAGGGACATATTGGTAATGGTTTTCTTAAAACCATGCTTCCAGGACTTTGGGAGTAAATACTTGACTTTATTATAAGTGCTGGGATAATATTTCATTTGCATGCGTAATTTACTTGAGCATCAATGACTTTTGAAGCTTCAGCAGCTGTTCCCTTGTGTTGAATAGTGATTACTTGTTCTCCTTGGTTATTCTTCCAACAACATACTTAGATGATGTTAAGAAACATAAAGCCAGCCTTGCCCTGCAACCTGCTCCCTTCATCAAATATTTAGAATCCCTGATTCTTTGTTTCTAAAAATAACACTTTTAAACTTTGTATCTCTTGTCTTAGCTAATATTTAAGTGTACCTTCTTCTCCCTCTGAGTCTTCTAGTAACCTTGGAAAAATAATGCAATTTGAGATTATTTTTTCAAGCTGTCTAATTGTAGTTATGAGACTTGTTATGTAGAAAGAGGGAAAAATCTATTCTCATTTGGTATTAGATCTTAGAATTTAGCATTGGGTGGTTTCAAAACTTAGTAAGTTTAGAAAGAGAGGACTAAATTTAACATTTACAAAACTACATCAAAAACTATTAGTTGTGTGTTTTCATTACAGGATAAGCTGCTAGAATCAGAAAACAAAGGAAACAGTTAACTGAAGAGCTCCAGAACGTGAAACAAGTAAGTCGAGCTTTGTAAACCCAAGAAAGAGTCGTGACCAATAAATTTGATGCAATAAGAATTAGAGGAGAAATAGTCTTCTGGGAAAATCTCTCTGTGGCAAAATTTCTCTGATTAAAGTCTGAAATCCAAGATATATAGTGAATTGATAGCAAATATACAAGAATAAGAGTGATTCCCTAATATATAAATGGCCAAAGTATAAGAACAGGCAGTTCACAAATGAAAAAAAAAGATAAGCTATCAACAGCTACATGGGGAAAAAAAATTCCTATCACTAATTATAAGAGACATTTAAATTAAAATAACTCTGAGGTGCCATCTCACATCTGTCAGATTGGCAAAGAAAAGGAAAATGACAATTATTAAAGAGCCTGTGGGGGAGACAGGTACAGTGATACTGTTGATGGAGCTGTGAAGGGATCTAACCATTCTGGAAATAATTTTAGAACTCATATGCTAAGGATGTGCAGTACTGCTTGGTATATATACAGGGGTGTGCTGGAGCCAACTTGAAACAGCTCCCAAGAGTCACTTGTTAAATTTTCAGTGTGAGCGTTGACAACTTGAAAATTGGCAAAAGCTATAAATCAGGGTTTGATTTACTATTTTGCTGATTGTTTAGACTTAAGAAAGTGAATGAGAAAATGTTAATAACGCTGAATAAACTTATAAGTATGTTGTATTGTTGTTTTGTTTTGTTTTGTTTTGTTTTGTTTTTGGAGAGCAGGTTGTTAAACATTCACCAGCACAAGACTACATATATCCTTAAAGAAAGAGGACAAACACTCTTTTGCATAAAATACTTATGGTACCTCTTTTTGTTATAGCAAAGAAATGGAAATAAATAGGTGTCCATCAACTGTGGAATAGCTGAACAAGGTCCAGGATATGAATATAATGGAATATTATTGTACGATAAGATGATGGAAGGGTCTAATTCAGAAAAATCTGGGAGGATGTATATGAATGAATGAAGAGCAAAGTGAGCAGGACCAGGAGAACATTTTATACAATGGCTATTATAAGGTGTTGTAAAAAATCTGTGAACACCTAAGGACTTTTGGTGACAGATGCTACTCCAGAAGACTGATGATCATTCATTCTTCCTACCCTTGGCAGAACAATGAGGACGAGGTGCAGAATGAAAGCTAAATTTTCATACTTGGCCAAAATGTGGATTTTTTTTTTGTTTGACTATTTTTATTTGTTACAAGGGAGGGAGATTTAGGGATGGGGGCATTGGGAATGTAGGGAATGTAGTGAAATTGTACCAAAAAAAAAAAAGAAAGAAAAAATCAATGAAACATTTAAAAATAGAAGAGAGTAAGAAGAAGTTCAGAAATGCGCAGATGAACACAGTAGTATTGGAAATACCATGTTAATTTTAATATGTATTTTCTTTTAAACTATTTAATATGTTAATGTTAATACCATGTTAAATTTATATGTATTTTTAATATTCACAGTGTCGTGTACAATTATCTTTTTCTCTTTAAAGGGAGGTAGTTAGGTTTGTTGATATTTGTCAAGTTTATGATAATAACAGAATAAATTATATATATATAATATATATATATTATATATATGTATATATATATATATATATTTTTTTTTAAGATGCAGAGCAGGATCATAAAATAGCAAGGCTGATTGGTTCCCAACATTCTAAGACTTAAGCACTGCTCTATAGCGGGAAACATGCGGGATTAGAGTCAAAGGACCTGGATTCATATTCTAATTCTTCCACTTGCTCCCTGTGTGGCCTTGGGCAATTTGCCTAATTTGTCTGGACCTGGGGTTCTTCATTTGTAAAATGAGGGAGTTGCCCTGATGTTCCTTCCAGCTATAAATCAGTGAGCAGCTAAGTAAAAGTTTCCTTTCATAAGAGGTAACTATATTCTTAGGAGTGTGCATAGAAGTCTTCTTTGGAATTTAGTGTGCAGGCTCTCTCAACTTCTGGCAGCCCTGTCTGTCATTAGATAGAGAGCTGGGCCTGGAGTCAGGAAGTTGCCATTTAGTCATATCCAACTCTTCATGATGCCATTTGGGGTTTTCTTGGGAAAGATACTAGAGTGGTTTGCCATTTTCTTCTCCAGCTCATTTTACAGATGAGGAAACTGAGGCTAATAGGGTCAAGTGACTTGTCCAGGGTCACACAGCTAATAAGTGTCTTAGGCTGGATTTGAACTCAGTAAAATGAGTCAGGAAGACAGGAGTTCAAATACCACTTCAAATACTTAGTAGCTATGTGGCCCTGGGAAAGTCCTCTATTTATCTCAGTTTCCCTAACTATAAAATGGAGATAATAATAGCACCCACCTCAAAGGGTTATTATGAAGGTCAAAAGAGATAATATATGTAAAGCACTTAGCACAGCATCTGGCACATAACAGGGATTTGATAAATCAGTCCTTCCTTCCTTTCTTCTTTCCTTCCTTCCTTCCACTTAGTATGTGTATTCTCCTGTATTTTCCACTCTTTACTACTCTTCACTAAAATGTTAGCTCTTTGAGGGCAGGGATTGTCTAATTTTTGTCTTGGTATCCCTAGCACCTTGTACACCACCATGTACATTGTTGGTGCTTAATAATTATTAGTTGAATTGCTTTCAGAACGTATTTATTTGCAAGCCATACCATCTTGTTATCTTACAGCCGCACCTCATTTTCTAATTTTTTTTTTTTAAATAAAACTTGTACTACCCTACTTGGTCATGCATTTTATTTACCACAACACTAGGCTCTGAATAGCTTTGGGGCTTTTTCCAAAAGTTAGATCCATCTGTTCAGAATGAAACTTTGCTACCACCAAAGATATTCAAGCATTCGTTTCTCCAGCAACACTGACCGAGCACCCACAGTATAGTGGAAAGAGAGTTACTCTTAGAATACCTGAATTTTAGTCCTGGCTCTGATACTTACTCACCGTGCAACCGTGGGCAAGTCCATTTAACTGGTCTGTGGTTACTGGGCCTCAGTTTTCTCATGTGCAAAATAAGGATAATAGTAACCTGCCTTGCCTCATGGATTTTGTTATAAGGAAACTACAGAAACTGTAAAACATTGCATAAAAGTGATTTGTTGTTATAAGGTACTATCCTCTTTTAAAGAGTGTGCCAGGGGGGTTTGAAGGTATTTGCATTAGAGGAGTTCCCAACATGCTTTTTTTTTAACAGTGGGAAGGTCCACTACCATGTAAACTCAGCTCTTCTAATATGGAAAGCACTAACGGGGAGCTGTCAATGGGTAAAGTATGGACAGAAAATGGGGGTTAATGGGAGAACTGTGGACATTCATAAAGGCTAAGGCTTAAAAGAGAGATCCAGCATCAGTACAACAAGTGAATCAGTTTGGAAAGTGACATTTATGGCTATACTGTATCCTATTTCGAGATAATCAGATACTGAATGCTTGTTTAGAACACGTTTGTCTTTTCTACTTTCTTTAATCCTGACACACTCCAATTACTACCTTTAATGCTAGACTATGGACACACCTGTTTTCTAGGTCCTGGACTACTTAATACCTGTTGATTATTATCCTTGGCCTGCTGTGACTTTATGCTTGCTTTTGGCCCATCCCATAAGATCTCTCATCATCATCCTTACCCTCCCCCCATTCCAAGTTTAGGGTTCCTGGCAAAAACCTGTCTTGCCTTTGGCCCCACCTAGGTGGGGCCAGTGTGGAACAGTACAGATAACATCACTAGAAAATGCACAGTCTTTCAAACTATCTATTTGGAAGGGGATACCAGTTTGCTTGCATATATTATTTCTGGTACATTTGTTTAAAAAAAATTAAACCCATTATCTGTGACATTATACAAGTCACTTTCACCTTTTGAGTGTAGTTTCTACCCTGTAAAATCAGAAAGTTGAATTGCAGGGGCTATGAAGGTCTTCCGTGTCTGAACACTACTATCTTATTTAGAGCCACACTGTGCATATGGCAGTTAGTATAATGGTTGTTGGGTTTTATTAGCTCAGTTTTATGTCTCCCTTCAAACAGTTGTAAAGTAGAAAGATATCAACACCTGCTGCATCTGTAGTACTACCAAAAATGATAGTTGCTCCCTACATTATGGCTTAAAGCCACATTGGAATCTTCAGGGAACATAGTTAATTGTGTTGTGTAGTAGAGAACACGTAGAATTCTAGCCAGGAAATCAGCAGTGATGGGAAAAATAAATAGAAGCAGTAGCAGTATGATCAGATTTCTTATATGTAAAATGGTATGTGTAGTGGATTTAGAATTTAAAAAAACCTTTTATTTGTAGGAGATTATTCCCAGAAACCTGGGAAAACTTTTATGAACTGATGCAAAGAGAAGAGAGCAGAACCAAGAGAACAATGCATATAGTGACAGCAACATTGTAACAATAATCAACTGTGAAAGACTTAGCAATTCTGATTATTGATCAGTGATCTATGACAATTCCAGAGAACTAAGATAAAAAATGTTATCCCCTCCAAATAGAGAAGTGATGGATTCTGAGTGCAAATTGAAGCATATTTTTTCTCTTTATTTTTCTTGCTTCTTTTTCTTTGCAAAATGTGGAAATTTTTTGTGTGACTTCATATATGTAATGGATACTGTATTTCTTGCCTTCTCAGTGGGTAGGGACAAAGGGAGGGAGAGAATTTGGAACTGAAAATTAAAATTTGAAAAAAAAAATTTTAAAGGCCTGGTTTAATTTCTTGTTTGGTCTCACTAGAGCCTCAGTGTCCTCATCTATAAATTTGGAGTAATAATCTCTCTATTACATGCCTCTCTGGGTGGTTTTAAGGAAAGTACTTTGTAAACTATAAAGACATATGTAAGTCTGAGATAGTATTTCTTCTTCAGAATGATCTCTATTCTATGTACTATTTATGCATTATACATACTTATAGTGATTATATATAAGGATGTTTATATTTATAAATTTATTTTCCTTGTATTTGTATTTATATATACATACATATAAATATATGTATACACAGGTGTGCACATGTATAC